CAAGACTTCAAAGCTGACTTTGAGTCAGCTGTAAGACATGTTATAAACATACCTTGTATTGTATGGGTCGAAATATAACAATGGCAGTTCGAGTATATTGCTTACAATAATCAAGCAATTTTGCGGTGAGGCTGGAAGCAATACGTCAGCCACAAATCAAATTTTCTCCCTAACCCAAATGTAGTCAATCAGTCAAGACCTATTTTTCATCTTTAATTTTGCACAGGACCTACAAGTCTAATTTAACTAACAAGCAATGGAAGCTTATAGCAATCAGTTTAGCATTGTGCAAACTGCATGTCAAAATCATCACACTTGGTTTAAATGACTGCAGGTTGTTTAGCAATCTAGACCTGTTTGTGTTAGTTTCTGAATTATGTTGAACTATGAGACTTCTGCCTGACATCAGAAGGTCTGGTGCATTTTTTCCCTTAACCTGGCCAAGAACCGCCTACTTTGACAGAATAGGGCCTTCTGACTGACATGCAACTTAACCAACCATTGTTGTTTTTGTGCCAGATGCAGAAGTGGTATGCGCTAGTTAGTATACCTCAGTTTCTAGCTTTTAAATACTTCAAAGAAAACTACTGAATAACAAAGTTGTGATGCTGTGAAATTCACACACATTTTTCAATCCATACAATATCTTAGAGCATAACTGTTTCCCATTGGTCAATTTAAAACCACTGCGTGGATGTGCGTACAAACAGTCATTTGAATAGCCACTCAGAATTCAGCTGACAAAATCTCGATAGCTGCAGCCAGGTTAATGTGCAACAGATATCAAATGGTCCACACCTCTGTGGGTGGAGCATCTGAGACAACATATTCAAAAACAGTAGTAGCCTGAATTTTGTCTTTTGTTACTGACACAAGTACATACAAGGGAAAAAAGGAAAACATCTGAGTGGCACTGGGACCCTGAAGAGTGGTTCAGAGACCACTGGTGCTTCCATGCAGAGAGGCTGGTGCATGTACTTTCGTAGCTTGTTCCAGCTGATGAACAGCAAATAAGCAGATGAAGTTCAACTTATTTCCAAGAAACAGGATACACAGTAGTTTAGCTGAGGTATGTGCATTATGGCCTGTCTTTTATAATACATGGAATCTCTACTAGATAGTTCAAGTGCCTAATGTCAGCCTGTATATGTAGAGTTTTCAATGCCATGGGATATCCTGCATGTTGATTGTCTCATTAAAGGAATATTTTAGTTTAAAAAAACAATAAAAAATCAATCAGCCAAGATGCATTTGCCATCAAACATTCTTTCTTATGTTCTGCATTGGAGCTAGGCTAAAAGTAGTTGAGGCTTAAACTCCATTAGCTGTCACTGTGTAAACGTCATGGCATACTCTTATCTATAAAAATTAACAAAAGTGCAGACAAAATTGAGACTCAATGATGGTTGCTCCTGCTCTTTTTAACTATGCAACACAGTTCTGTCGATTTTTTACAGATAACAGAATGGTATTAAGTGTCAGAATCCACATAAGCAAGCCCCAAGCAAACTTCAGACACTAAACATGTCTTGGCTGATCAGCTACATTTGGGGATTCTTCAATGAAGTATTCCTTTATGGGTTTGAATGGACAATGTTTCTGTTGTCAAATATTCTGTATAAACAAATATCAGTATCGGTGAAACACTTTCAACTTGCCTGCTTTCAGCTATGTTTCTGAACTACTTTAGACAGCTCCTGGGCTTCCTTCATAAGACTGTTATAAGAACTTCTGACAATTCCCACAAAAGCTGTTCTGATCATACACCCTGAAGGGGAACCTAAAAAGCACCTCTAGAGCATCACTAGACTTTGCTGAAGGGCTCCTAACTCCCCTCTTCACCTTCACAGGCCTGCACTGGTCTGCTGCTGTTCATATTTAACACGGTACAAACGGTTCTCGCATGAGCCACTCTCCAAGTTTCCATGCAAATGTGAGCTATGCTTCAAATGTCAGCTTTTTCCTCTCCCAAAGTGAGGAGATTAAAGATGGCAGACAGAGAAGGAAAGTGCACAGGGCTCTGTCCAAAATCTCAGCACACTCCCTTCCCTCCCACCCCATCCTGCTCAGTGGAGATGAATAGGGAGATTATCGCACATTCAACATTCTGACAGAATCAACATCCTGCACTCCGGGAGGTAGAAAAGGAGTTGTAATCTTATTGTTTATAATTTTATGGCCCTCTTAAGATCCAGCCAAATTGTCTTGAGGGAGTATGACTACAAGGAGTTAGAGACTGGAGAGAACTCGGAAACATCCCAAAAGCATCACTGTGCAAAGAACATCATAAAGTTATCTTTTTTAGGAGTTAGGGTGTTTCCCTCAAACCATCATAGCCATGGTAAACTATGATCAGCACTGTGTTTGGGAAACAGGGCTCAGATTAATTGGCAATAGAAGAAAGGCACATGAACTAGACCTAGGTGTCATGACTACCTGTGCTACAACAGGAAAAACAGAAACCTATACATTAATGCAGTGTTCCAGGACTGGGACTGAAGAATAGTGGATTAGAAACAAGGTTTAGAAGATTGGTGTAGATTCTGATGCTAGATTAAAGTTGTAGTTCAGCAAAAAAAAACAAATTACACAATTTGCCTCTTTGTCTAAATGTCATTGGTCAACCAAGATATGTTCAGCATCTGAACTTTGGTTTTTTTCCCACACAGCATTGAGTAGCATAGTGTTAGATAGCATAGTGTTAGTATAGTGGTGCGTAGTAGAATGTGCTGCATTGACAGCAATGAAGCTCAAGTACACTCTTTGTAGATTTATATGTATAGCATTTGGTATCAGCTGACCGCCTCTTTACAAACTGTTTCTGAGCTAAAAGATACTAGGTGAAATAAATTATGTTACTAGGCTAGTAACATTAGCTTTTGTCTGTTTATTAGGGATGTGAATGGGTACTCGAGCAGTCAGTTAACCGTTCAATGTGGCAGTATTCAAATACTAAACTGCTATTCGGGAACTTTGGAGTTAATTTTGTGCCAAAAGTATTAAATAGAATAGTAAAATCCACAAGCAAAATATTATGTATCAAAATGTCCAAGATATGTTGCAAATACAAATAATGAGAGTTAAATTAAACTTAATTTTCAAAAAGATTACTACTCATTTTCTCTCATCTTTAATTTTTTTTCTGTTTGCTTCTATTTTTTTTGCTTCTGAAAATTTCCTTTTGCTTCTGACTTTTGGCACTTTTTAGCAGGGGGCGGGTCACATTCACACGCACTCTCTATTGTTTAACTGATTTTGAGTGACAGGTCTTCTGAACACATAGCCACGCCCATTTCATGAGCCATGATCTGCCTTGAACATGACGGAGCACTTTGTATTCAGTGTATATATATATATATATATGTATATATATATTTATGGGAAACTGAAGTATATCAGGTAAACTTAACTGTTGAACAGTTGTTCTGATGACCTGCGGCTCCACACGGTTTCAACTATTCCTTACCTTAAAACATCTGGTCCAGCTCATCAACTGATTAACGAGCCGTTCATGAGCTGCGTCAGGTGTGTTGGGTCAGGAATCGTTGAATCTGCAGTGCTGTGAGTTGACGGAAATAAAGTTGAGGCAGCACTGGCATAAACACAGTGAAGAGCAGAAAATACTGCTGATAGTAGCAAGCTACAAGTTACTGCTGCTGTGAGATCGCTGATAGACGATAATGTTTAATCACTATAAAGAGAATAAAAGTTGACATATCATGGTTGGTCGTTCTGTTCTGGGGGTTACGAAAGCTGTTATGTCAGTGTGTTCTTGTTTCTACCCACAGACTGCCTCCATGTCAGTCACTGAAACAGGATTCCTATTTCACCACAGTAATTTATTGAATGTGCTGCTCCACATCGCTGTCTTCACTTTATTACAGTGAAATAACTTCAGATATTTAAGCAGTTTAGTTCCATATCCAGAAAGGCTAGCCTAGTTATTACGTCGCTATTATGTTTTAACAGGACAGTTCGATGTTATGGTTTTGCTCATATTTATGAGTAATAATGTATATTACATTCTGTCACTCCAAAACTCGAGTGCCTAAACGTGAGCAGACTGTCAAGGACACCTTGATAAGGACATGATCGAGAAGGCAGATGTAGCGTGGCTTTACTGTTAACCATGCTAATTAGTATAGCTGAGGTTAGCTAGGTCCAGAAACAGTGAAAATATATTTCTCTCACAAACTAACATGTTGGAACATCCACTGCAGAAAAATACCTCTGGTAAGACAATGAAATCTCATCAGCACCCAGTGTTGTACCAGCTGTAGTCTTAGCTCACATCTGAAGAGGCAGCCTCCCTTACTCTTGCAACACATAACTCTCATTCACATATTTCTTTGCTTGCTGCAAAATTTTAGTTAAACCCAGTGCTTTCACATAAAAAAGTAAACCTGTCCCTGCAATGGTTTATTTCAGCCAAAGTACCATTTATTTTTGCAGTTTCTTTTTTTTGGTCCTTCCCCATAGATAACTGGATTTCCATTCACTGTGGATACTCTTGCAGATACTCAAATTTCAAAATTAGTTGTAATGCACATGCTTACTGTTTATTTTAAAGATTTCAGACTGACTGCCTCACTGTATAAATTTCAAGCCACGTCACCTACCATCGTTTTTATGGTGTCATTCTGGGTTTAATTTAATGCAGTGGTGCTTAGAGAAATTGAGCAATGCTGGAAATCCCAGAGCGTGCTGACAGCAAATGTTGGCAGGGGTTTATGCACCTTCATTAAAACAAAAAATTTTCAAATTTTAAGCAACGAGGCTCGGCATGTTCAGTGCGCGGTAACCTTAATGTAGCTGACAAGTAGTATAATATACTCCACCAATTAGCATGATGCAAAGTACATGCTTCAATCATCACACATTTGTTTCAAACTGCGCTTAGTTGAAAACAATCTGAAAGAAGTTTGCTTACACAGTTTCTGTTGATGTTAACTATTAAAAAGAGACAAATCACTTTTCTTCATCTCACTCTCTCCTCATAGGTTTATCCAGATGATGCTGGTGATGTGCAACCCTTTGCAGGTGAGATAGTGTATGTGTGTGTGTGTTTTAAGAGATTTCATTGCACATTTAATAATGAACAACATGCACAAACTTTACCTTTGTGAGAACTTGGAGATATCTAAAAAAAGAAAGAAGAGGGGAACTGGCAGGGTAGGGAGAGATAACACCCCTGTGCTTATGCTACTATCCCTGCAGGTGTTCGGAGTTGACGGTGTGAACTTCAGCGTGCACGTGGAGAATCAGACTCGTGCACGAGATGCCATGAGTCGAAGACAGCCCCGAGTCTACCAGCTCTACAGTCGCACCAGCTGCAAACATGTCCAGGTGCTGGGCCGCAAGATTAGCGCTCGCGGAGAGGACGGGGACAAATTCGGTAACAACACACACACATACAGTCACACAAAGGGTCTAAGGCCTGTCTGACACCTTCACTGGAACCTTTTGTTCTCACACTCCATCTTAACTTTGCCTCTCTCTGACAACTCAGCCTTTCTTTCATTCTCTCCCCCCTTTCTGTCTGACTCACAGTCTCTGTCTCTCTCGATCTCATTCACACGGTACAGTAAAGGGCAGAAAAATAATGAGATCGCGAGAAAAGCATGTATCTGCAGACAAGATGTTGGCAAACAGACTAGAAGACAAATAATATTGTGCTTATTCTGTGGTACAGAGACATACACACACACAGGAAAGATGTAGTGAGGAACTTGTGTGTGGAAAACAAAGACCTCAATGACTGCTGACACTGTGATTCACTGAGGGGAAAGGGGAGGGAGAGTGAAAGAGAGAGGAAGAGGGAGTGAGAGATGGATAGAGCACAGTCAGCGCTGGGTGTTAGACAGAGTGTTAGAAACTCACCTCCAGATCGATCTTTCCATTGATCCGGCGTTCTGCCTGTGGTCTTTCCCTCTACGCTTTTAAACAGCACGCTGACCATCTCCTCCCCCTCTCCTTCTTCCACCTTCAGCTCATCCTCTCTGTCTCTTCATTCATCTATCCATCCATCCATCCTCCCCCACTCTCTCTGTGTGATGCACAGCAAAGCCATACAATCAATTCCAGAGGAAGTTGAAAGCTGATCCATACCCTATGTATGTGACTTTCCTACAACAGCAACGGCATTTACATTTATGTACAGTACATGGCTTTTAAAACTCTGAATTCATGCTTCTGTGGCATTTTAAGATATATATATATATATATATATATATATATATACACACACATATAAGGGTTTGATGTAGTAATTCACTTCCCCAGTCCATGCAGCCGTTTTTTAATTCAATCATTCATTAAATTCATGTTTTTCTGACAGCATGTTAACATATATTCAGCCTATGTCAGTTTAGCCTCACCCATTCATGTTAAAGTGGTAAGGGTATGTTAAGCCCAGCCCAGACTACTTTTGAAAGAGGCACAATACAGGACAATCAGAACAGAGCTCATTAACATATATCAGCCTTAAAAACAGAGCAACAAAAACAGCCTGTTCAATTCTAATGGATAAAAGGAAGTCTGAAATAAAAATAAAGTATGACTCTTCTTCGTACACACAGACCGCAGAGGGAAAAACTTATGTGCCCTTTAAAGTTTACCATCCTAACTCATTCAATTATGGCAGTGACTAAAGGAAAAGAGGAAGACCGAAAGCAATGGGAAGAGTATAAGAGGAAAGAGCCAAAGGGAAGGCCTTAGGAGAGATTGGTGGAAGAGAAGAAGCGAGTGAGAGCTTATTGATTTGTGATGACCCCTGCGCTTATAAAGGTCATCTAGAAACCATTTTGGGGCTTTATCTTCAAACAGGCACGCTCCCTGTGAAATGCACAGTGTATGAATGAAACATATGCACTCACATACAAAGACCTACTAAGCACTTACTAAATAAAAGTAAATGAAATGTAGTAAATGATACCCTATTGGGAGAACAAGATGTTTGTTATATGTCATACTTAACTTATATAGGACAAAACTGCATCAACTGATAACTGGAGACTGATTTTTAAGTTGAATTGCACTGACCCAGGCAAATATGATGGTTATCAGTAACTGTGTCAATCAGGAAAGTCAGTGTCAGTCATACTGGGGTTTAATCTGCTTAAGAGCTCCAGGTTATCTCTCCTGCTTTAACTCTGTTTATCTCTGGCTTCGTCTCACAACTGCTGCTGACAGTGCTGATGCCAGTGGTAGAAGTCAATCATTAGAATCATAGCAATTATTAGAAGCCACTTGGTCAGTTTCTGTTTCACTCAGCTAATAAATGGCCTCAATTATCCTTAACTCCTTTCACCATCCTGAAAATTTCACCTGAAATGAATTTAATATTAGAAAGGGACAAATATATTTGTAGCATAATTTCTATAGTGTTTCAAATATTTAACCTAAGGCATAATTATGTGAATGTTCAGTACATTTATTCATCTGCACTGTCTCAAATCAAACTTCAGTTTACAAGTTTACTATAAGACTGCAAATTCCATTCACTGTGGGCAATGTTTTGGCTTTTCAAGGATTTGACAAATTTCATATATACTTAACCTGAGGTAAAGATTGTTTGATATTAGTAAATCTAAGAAAAAACAAGGTGCTTACAACAGTCCATTTTTTTATCATCATATTTCTTAAAAAAGTACATGAGGAGTGAACCACAGACAAACAAAATTAAGCTTATTTTAACTAACTACTAATACTGCATTTTGCTGTTTAATCAAGCATTGATTTATTTTTTTTTTTTTTTAACCAGCCAAGTAATTAGGTTGCAGTTCTGTGGGCTAGGGAAGAACAACTAAAGCGTAGGGCAGAGTAGAAGAGGAAAATTATATGAGTTCAGAAGAAACATCACCAGACAATTTGGTAATGCAAGTAGCGTTCTGTGACATTGATCCATATTTGTTGGTCCCTCTTCTTTAACAGCTAAATCAATGATTAAAAGACAGTATGTTGTATTTTGCGTATTATTTATCAGAATATGTGTCAAAAAAACATTATGTACCTTAGTCTTTGAAAAATGTGTACAAAGTGGTGACAGAGAACGTCTCAGTAATACAGCCTAAGTGAAAAATATGAGTCAACTTAATTATTCAGGTCATTTTAGTTGTATCAGCAAACTCATCTTACCAAAAGGTGATTCAGATCGCTACTGAATGGTGAAATAAATGTATCAGAATGAAGTAACTCTGCCATAGACATTTCTTTCTCTATCACTTATTGTGTGTATTTTATGTTAGAGAGGTATGCAGTTATATCAGATTAGATGTTGTGGGTTCCTCATGTTAATTCAGCAAACCTTACCAAGCGTACTCAGGTCAATCATACACTAAAACAGCTATATGGATGTAAATTACAGTATGAAATATTCCAGTCTTTTCATGAAGTACTGCATTTTGTTTACATTGAAAGCGAGATATAGCTACAGAATCATAAATTTGTAGCAGCTGTGCAGATCACTAAATAGTGTGACTGAATGATTTGGGGAGAATATGTAATTGGGATTGTTTTTTCAATTAAGCTCCATGCATATCCATTTTTTTCAGACTTCAGGTCTGAACACTGAATGTAGCGTGGCTCAACGCCAGATACTAGGTTACATTTCTCCACTAAAAAGTTGTTAAGACAACTGTAAATAATGTAGGACATAATTAAAACTGTACTCTTGTGATTTTTTGCCATTAACTAAAATTGCCATTAACTAAATTTTTATAAAAATGATTAATCATTAAGCCACATTACATAGCAACGTTTAACGTAGAAACCTTGCAATTCATTATATAAATAACTTCTGTTCATTCAATAACCTGTGCTATGAAAACACAAATTTCTGTTAGTGCCCTTATGGGCTATGCCAAGCTAGCAGTGGTGTATATTCACATTTAAAGATAGCTCTACCTGACACATGATATTTGAAGCTTGTACTGTATATTTTAACATTGCATGTTATAATTTAATAGTTTATAGTTTAATCCTCCCTTAGTATGAAACAATACTTCACGCTAGCGTTAGCTATCCTGACTGATTAAACAGACAAGGAGTCAACTACTGTTAATTACCAGAATAAAGACATATGTCAAATAATTACTGGATTACGCTCAATAAAAATAATTAGGGATGCACAGATACTGATACTGGTATCGGGTATCGGGCTGCTACCATGCTGATTACTAGTACTGGTACTTCACCCATACCAACATTCCCATACCCGCTGTGACACAAGTCGGGCATAGGATATCGTGTTAACTTAATGAACCAACAGTAAAGGAGGCTCTGCTCACACAGAGGAGAGTTGCTGACTCCGTGATACTCGGACATAAAGCCATCAGTCACTTTAAACATTCCGCTTTAGTACATGGTGTCCCAAAAAAAATGACATCATTTCATAGTCTAATAACATAGCCAATTCTCCCTCAAATGATCTCAAATTTTAACAAAATGTGTAAAAACTAACCAAGTTAAATTTTTAATGTTTTTTTTCAGGTTGAAGAATGGCGTTCACTAGAAATGAAAAGGCATTTTGAGTGTTAGAATTTGCTCAAACACAGTCAAACAAGAGTGTGCAGCGTGTATTTTCGAGAAAATTCAATAAAAATGCACCAACTGGAAAGCAGATTTGGACATGGCACAAAAAATTCAAAGAGGAAGGCTGTCTGTGCAGGGCAAAGGGATCTGGACGACCACCAGTATCGGAAGATATTACATTTGTGAAGCTTTGTGAAATCGGTTATAAAATCTACATCCCTCTGAATTTCTTGTTTGAATTTTGATAAATAAATCTTGTATTGTTCAGCATGAGGCCTATTTAATTTCGTTTGCCTAGGGCATGTAGTTACTCAGATATTCACATCTCAAATGAGGTCAATTTTTTTGGGACATCCTGTATATTCCCGCCTGACCTACACCGTGCAATTTTAAACCGTTTTAACCCTCCTGTTGTGTTTGTTTCGGCTAACACTCATATTGTTCCCGGTCACTTTTGACCCGGATCATTTTATTCCATTATAAATCAACAATAATACATATATTATCATCTAATGTTGTGTTAGTTCTTTATATGAACTTCAGCTCTTGTGAACATTATAAGTTTTGAACTTGTATTTGCTGTTTATGTCCTGCTGGCCTCATTTACCTGAGCTCATACCGCTCGTTTTTTTTTAGGGAAAAAACATTATATACATATATATTATATACATATTATGTATATAATATATAATATTATTATAATATATATATATAATACACATATTATTTTGACTATAACGAATACTAAGATGAAACCTATTGTAGTGTTTGTCACAGAGTACTTCACTGAAATGTTTACCAAAGTCACTTTTTTGAAACCAATTAAGTTTTCTAAACTGTGGCACAAAATAACAACTTTTGTGTTCCCGGTCAAAACTGACCGGTATGATTTATTTATTGAAAACAAAAGCCCAAATGTACACAGGGAAAATTTAAGAGAAATGCTTGAACCATACACTGTATGAACATATTTACAATTTTCTATTGTACTCTGAAAAGACAGTGCCATAATGTTATCTTTATGTTCCTCAGTTTTGTCCTCTCATGAGCATGTGGGGCAATATACTGTAGTCGTTGCATGTTCTTTGCATATATATACACCGCATCTGTGGCACACAAAGCTAGTTTTTTTATCTCTTGGTGCACACAGTTGGCTCCTCTTTCTTTTGACTCCTCCTTCTCTGGTTGCTGTGGATGTGCTTGATATGTGCTTGAACTCTGTTTTATACACTAATTGTAGTCTTATAGATTAATTTCCAATAACCGGTCATTTTTGACCAGGAACACCATGGGTGTATACAAGTTCCATAAAACACACACATTTTTATAAAAATATTTCAGATTTATTTTAGGTGTTCAAATACCATGTGTGAACAAAGTCATGGAACCTCATGACAAACAGACGAAATGTACTACACTTTTTAAAGAGGAAACTTGTAAATCGGTCAGATTTGACCGGAACACAACAGGAGGGCTAAACACAAAAGCACAGCTGCTTCCCCATTACGGGTGGAGACACGCAGGTGGAGGAAAGTCGACATTTGCTACTAAAGTCCTTCTATACTGTTTTTCCTCTGTTTGAATGAGTAGAATAGTGAGGTAGCTATAAACGTTCATACGGTGATTTTCTTTGTAAAACAGGCTGTAGAAAGACCGTTGCTACTGTCCAACCGTGTTCATCTACACCTGGTTTTAGCTTCAGAGCTCAGCGTTGTCACTGAGCTAGCTACAGAGACTGTCTTTGAAAGACACAATAAGGAGCATTAAACTTGTGAAACACATTTTACTTACCGCTGTAACGTACAGAAGTGTTTTTCTGATGTGAAACAAAACCCGCTCTTCTCCACAGCAGCGCTACTCGATCAAAGGTAGTTAGCTAACTAGCTAATGTAGCTAGCATAGCTAATTCACGTCATTTGAAATCAGCTAGCTAGATTTTAATGATTTGAATTGTTTATGGTATCGGACTTGGTATCGCCGAGTACTAAAAACATGTACATTACTCGTATTTAGTCTGTAAAAACGATACCGAGTTCTCCCCACCTTTAGAGGTTAAAGTGACAGTTGGTTCGGGCTAGCACTGATCCGTTGAGTTTTGAATTTGAAATGAGCGCGCGGCTGCAGCGCAGCCATTGGTGCGCTGTATTAAAGGGGATTTCCACCGATTTTTCAAAATTTATCCATATTTCTGTGGTTACGATACAAATAAAGTCATCCAACGTGATTTGATGTGAAATAATGTATCTGTAGAGGAATTTGCCAACGAAGATTTTCTTTACAGTGGTGGTGATAGGAACCAGAGGTCCCAGAGTCTACAATGCAAATACAGCCATTTTATTTACTGTCCAAAACCATCAGTGAACCTATATGTAACGTTGGTGACGGTAAAATAATGGTCAGTCTGTTTTCTTTGGGGACTATTTTGCCTTAGAACATCCTTCATGTATCCCTGCACCATGAATTAATCAAGATATAATGATTAAAATACGCGTTAGACCAAAACCTTGTCACACCACTACCATAAAACAACGTCTCAGACATCAGGCAGTATGTTCCTAATCATTTCATGTATGGTTTCGTTTCAATAACTGTCTACGAGGGGACTTTTAGAGGTGGACATCCACTTCCTATCACCACCACTGTGAACAGTTCTGGCTCAGTACGTTTCTCCAGCACAGAGCATTTTACATCAAACCACTCTACATGACTTTTTGACATGCTGACCATTTAATTGTGCAGAAATTTTGAAACATTGGTGGCGTTCCCCTTTAAGCAGTAGGATGAAGCCATACAAACCCTGAAGAAATAGAGTTGAACTGCATCATATGGGCTAATCTAGTGGTCCAGCCATTATCATCCTGTTATAATGGTTAGGAATGACTGGCTGGATACGCTTTACCTCTGCGTGGTCCGGGTTTCTGCTATTTTTCAGAACATACCATCATTTTTTAAAGCACCATGTATAACTGCTTAAAAAACAAATGCGATGAGCATGATATAGAACACTTGAAAAAGTTGTGAGCATGCATCCCCTGTGTTATCACTGTAAATCAGGCATACAATGTATTTTGAATCTGGTGACCAGCCAACAGGATGGTCAAGTTCAAGACAAAGATAAAAGTACAGAGCTCAGTTAACTGCTTCATAGATTAGAGAAAGCATTGTCAATTCGAGTCAGCCTTCAAGACAATGGCTCAGCAGTCAGATAGTAAAGCCTGGTAATGTTTTAATTTATTACTTTTTAGAGCAATTTTAGCACTTTTAAAGAAGCATTTATTGGCTCAACCTTTACAACAGTTCAAACATTCACAAAGAGCTGGTGTGGCTGCAGGTTTTCATTCCTACAAAGCAGATCACCCGATCAGCAGTTTGAAGACAAAAAACAACTGATTAAACAAGTGGGATCAGGTGTGCTCCAGCTTGTTTTCAGTGAAAACCTGTAGCCACACTGGTCCTTTGTCGATAAGATTGGACACTACTACAGTAATGTTACTACAAAATGTACAGGATTCTTATAAGAATCTTATAGTAAATTCAGACAGTTACTTATTTATATATTAATATGACACTGCTTGTCCTATGGCAAAAAAATAAGTAACTGTCTGAATTTACTATAAGATTCTTATAAGAATTGTAAATTTTGTAGCAACATTACCATTTTTTCATAAGGGAAGGTGAAAGAAGAGACATCTCATTTGTAACCTTAGTGTATTTAATGTAATTCTTTTTGTAACGTCTGTCTGTCTGTATGTGTCCGTTTGTCCCTTCACAAGCCCAGCTTGTAGTGGAGGCAGACACCTTCGGCAGCCAGGTGCGAATCAGGGGGAAAGAGACCAACTACTACCTGTGCATGAACCGCAGGGGCAAACTCGTAGGCAAGGTGACACATCTCTATGTTAGCTTAAGTGTTGTCATTTCATGCTCTGAATGGTCAAATTGAGTTTGTGGCAAACTGACACGTTTCCATTCTCTCCCTCTTTCCCTTTCTCTATTTTTTTTTTTGGGTTATCTTCAGAAGGCCAGTAGTCGTAGTCCAGACTGCGTGTTTGTGGAGATGGTGCTGGAGAACAACTACACAGCGTTAATGTCAGCACGGTACACAGGATGGTATGTGGGCTTCACCAAAAAGGGGCGGCCTCGCCGTGGCCCCCACACGCTTCTTAACATGCAGGACGTTCACTTCATGAAGCGCCCCCCTCCGGGAGAGCAGCCGGACCACACGCCCTTCCGCTTCACCACTGTCAGCAAGAGGAGCAAAAGGGTCCGTGCTGCACGGCCGCGTTAACATACGCAAAATCCCCACTGTCCCTCCATGGGACCCTGCTAACGTTCGAGTCAGGGCCTACTAACAAAAGACACTCTTAGACTACAGCCCTGCTAATGGGACCACGCTAATGCTAACTACAGGACCTGGTGTCGATGGAAGGTTGGAAAGTCTAACTCCATTTGACTGGCTAATGGACAATGCTAAATATGGAATGCTTTCCTTTTTGAAGGGTCAGCTATGTGTAACATCCTGCAGTAAACAGGATCTGAACTGGACCTGCTAGCATACCAAAACAACTGCTACTCCCCTCTAGAGCCTTGACATGGCCTGATGTTGACAAACTAAACCAAGCCAAAACTGACAAGATCAGTGGAACTTAATGCAATGACAAGCTCTAGCCTTTTTCTATGGTCTAAGGAAGCAAAAAACAGACAATGGTAAACTAACAACCCTCGTTGCACCATGGGGGGACACTGACGCAGCAGCCTGCTAACCCAGCTATCGCTTCCTACCACTTCATGAGAGGGATACTCTTTCCTACAGCATAGGCTCCACTCAGGATTCCCAGAGCAAGATTCATTTGGAACTAGACCTACATGGCTGGGAGAGAATAATGGGTCTCCTGGATTCCTGTAGAAGATTATGAGAAAAGAGTTCTGGACTGAGTCCTACTAAAGGACTCAAGAGTGATAAAGAGGAGAGACTAAAACTGAAAAGCCTCCCTCTGCCTCTGCCTGCAAGCTAGTATGAATTTAGGAGTGAGTGAGTATGTGTGTGTGTGTGCCTGTGTGTATGTGTTTGAAAGAGTGTTTCAAGTTGCACCAAAGACCACATTGGATGCTACCACGGATGACTCTGAGGAGTACATCTGCGTAGGCGAGCTTGAAAAAAATATATAGCCTACCTATGGCTGGAAAAACCTACTAAAACTGGAATGTAATGTAAAAAAAAAAAAAAGAACACCCAGAAACTCCTTAGAAAGCTGCACCAAAAATGACCTAACGACCAAAGACAACTAGAGACCAATGATGAACTTGACAACCCCCACACCCTAGAGCCTCTGAAGCCACCAAGCCTATCAGAGTAGAGCACTCAGCAGTGGGACAGGAAAGGCACGGGGTTGCTTTCGGAACGACACAAGGAGCAACGTTCACGTTTGGGTTCCAATCGGAATGCTGCTAGTGGAAAATTCAGTGGAGTACCAAAGTCACTTACATTATTATTAAAAGGAAAAAACAAACATAACAATAAATAAAACTATATATATATATATGAAAAGAGCAAAGCTAAATAAGCGATTATATTATGACTGCTACTATAATTGTTGTTACTATAAAGTTTATTTCACTTATTTATTTCATCTCTGTGTATGGCAATCTTTCTAAAGCCAGTAAACTCTACAGAAATTGTCTGTGTTTTAAAACATACTCCCAGTGTCTGTTTCTCTCAATTATCACTTTTGTTTTTGTCACCAGACAGCAAGCTGTCAAACTTGTGGTCATGTTTAAAACTACCATTATAAAGACTGTCCCATACAGATTAACCTTTTAAGAACAATGAGGGTGTCATAATAATAATAATAATAATAATAATAACAATAATAGGGCAATATGGCAATTTTTATCATTATTGCAATAACTTATGTCATATGCTTTTCAAATCATGGACATCGTCATTTCATCGGACATGTATTTAAAGACATGCTTAAAGAACAGTGACTAACTGCATGTGTCATGACAAAGACATGAAAATTAGCCCTGTTTAATTGGACTTAGTTCAGCACAATATATGAAACATTAAATAAAAAATACACAGTATTTTTTGATAGTATTTATTAAAAGGCCTATTAATCTTTAATATAATTGTTTCCCCCTTAAGTCCAACATATGAGGTTTGGGTAGTTTTCAGACCAAAAATGAATTAATAAATAAAGAAACAATAAATTTTGTTCAAGACCATTTTCTAACTGCTCTTGATGCCTTAGAAACAGGCTGTTTTTGCTAATGTACCTTTAAGACTGATATATTTAAATTATCTCTGCTTTAATTGGCTCTGTATTGTGCCTCATTCCAAAAGCAGTCTAGGCTGAAACACTCCTTATAGCTTCAACGTAAAAGGGCGGAGCTAAACCGCTGTATGCTGAACTGGCAGATATATATTAAATGTGTTGTTTTTTTTTTTTGACTTCACAAAAGCATTAAAAATGGAACATTTTTGCAGCTTGGTTTTAATATATGGATGTTATGGACTGGGGAGTGAACAATACATTTTTTAACAATGTTTACATATGACATCAAAGTCTTTTATTAAAAAATGAAATGGGCTCTTTGAATGTGACACTACTGGAGCTTTTTTTATGTTCCGACTTATTACACCTCAGGAAGACTAAATACAGTGTTATATATCATGTATTGTGAAAATAGATCCGCCCACCCCTATAATAAAAACATAAATGATACAAAAAACATTTCACAAATTAGAGAACTAGAGAACAAATTGATAAATCTAGATACTGGCTATCCAAGAAACTATCGTGAATAAGCACTGAACAAAGAATAATCATTAAACATTGGCATATTATTGATTCATCCAAATAACATAAACCAACGATAACCGACTGAGCTGCCAAACAAATGAAAAGAAAGTGACTAATCTAAACACAAAATACTGCAAATGCTTCCTTAATCTGTTTTCTGGGTAATGATTGTAATAGTAAGTTAACCTAAAAAGCTACAGACACCCATGGAAGTTCTGACATGTCATACAATAATTCCAGTAAATATACTCATACATCCCTCTTACCTCTGGTGGGAAATGTTAGCCTGTTGTCTGTGAATCATTAAAGGACTCTCGTGAGCACACACTCACACACACATACACAGCCGTCACCTCCAACCTGTAATCCCGGCAATCCCAGTCGGCTGACTCAGCGGGAAAGTGGAGCGTTCAGAGAAAGAGAGCGCAAGGAGGGGTGCAGAGAAATAGAAAGAAGGAGAGAGACAGAGAGAAAGAGAATGAGGGTTTTGGAAACAGAATGGTGGAAAGATTCCACAGCCAAACCCAGAGGAAGGTGTATGGTAAGGCTGCAGCAGGAAGGAATGTTAAAAATGTGCGTGAGAACGGAGCAGTGACCTGGGACCTGCAGGAATTATGAGAAAAAAAACATATCCCTCAGACCCACAGGAAACACACACGCCCTCCATCATACACACTACACCCCAATAGTAGCATACTTGGATCATATACATGGCTGATACACCAAAACTAAGCTGCAAAAGCGGCCTGCTTTGAAATCATTGCTTTTGTGATGTCACAAAAAGTGGTGCGTTTACATATATCCACCGACTTAGCTTATTGCAATTTAGCTCCACCCATTCTCATTGACATTACAAGGCGTATTTTAATCTGGACGGCTTTTTGAATGACCTACAATACAGAGCAATCAGAATACAGGTCATTTGCATTATATTGGTCTTCAAAACCCAGCAACAAAAACTAAGAGACAAGGATATGTTGGAAAATTGTCATGTAAAAATGCATCAAAGCTGTTTTGTTACATAAAACTACATAAGTGTGGTTTCTAAAAAAATAAAAAGTGGACCTTATAAAAAAAAAGTATGATTATGGGTCATTTGATATTAATATATTAATATAAGTGATTCCAAACTTTTGAACGATAGTGTACATATAGAGTAATACATTCTAAACGACTATGTAACGCTATGGAATCTGTGATCAACCATAGACACTGCACACATCTGTCACTGCTGTTGTAGCCTAAGCACACACTCACACACATACTCCTAATACAGTTCTATAAACCCACTGTGTAGCCACTAATACCATAGTGTGTAGAGTAAATGCAGAGTATCACTCAGCACAAGGAACCACAAATGCAAGGCCGCACACACAATCACGGTAAACCACAACTATACCGAAGCTCAGCAGCCAGACCCACAATGTAGAACAAGGATTAGACATGCACATTAAATGCCCTCAGTCTCACACACCACAACAACCACTGACACGCTTCTCACACACACACACACCAAATCATGGTCCAACTGTACTCACTGCACACTGAAGTGGTCTGAAGGCTGTTTCAGTTTTAACCAACTAATGGCTTGTTCAAACTTTGGCGATTGGCTTTAAGATGTTTCAAAAAAAAAGGGAGAAAGGGAAGAAAAGGAAAAATGGAAGGGAAAAAATCTTGACACACAAATCAAGGACATAATTTAGAAGGAAACAAGTATAACTGCAGCTCTATTTAAAGTTGCAGGCTATGTTGGACCTGGGAACCCCTGCATGCCACACTTCGGCATTTTCCCTGCTCACTTCACTACCACACTTGATTCAAATCCTTAGCCAATTAACTACCCTTTTGTGAGCTGGAACAAGTGTTTTAAAACTGGAAAACAAAACTTGGCAACACTGTACTGATGCATTTCTCCATTAGTACTTTTGTAAGTATGTACACTATTCTTCAGACGTTTGGAATGACTCGTCATGTCAATAGTTGCGGTTTTGATTAATATTTCAAGGTTTTTTGGTAACATGGGGAACTTAGTAAATGACAAATAACAATGTAATTAACTATTTATATTAAGTCCTACATTGGGATTTGAGCACCGCTTTCCCAAAACTAGGCATTCTGGATGTTAATTCAGTTATAACTTCTTTCTCAAGAATCTATGGCTCTGGCTCCCCACAACCATTTTAGTGTTAAGATCATCTTAACTGGTGAAGTGAGTGCTTGCTCTACCACTTAAGAATGGTCTTTGTGCTAAGGGGCTTTTGGGATACACAGTCCACTTCACCATTCTGTGAACATCTAATATTTCTTCAATTTTCTTTACTGCTTTCCACCAATTAGTTGGAACCTATGAGGTCAGTTTCCCGGACAGGGATTAAGCCTAGTTCTGGACCTCTACTTCTCTTTCAATGGAGAATCCCCATTGAAAATGTCATGTAGCCTAAGACCAGCCTTAATCCCTGCCAATTAAACCAACTATAAAACTGTAGAGAAGTAGCATCATAGTGGGATCATTCTGAACATCTATTGGCTTTATATTGAAAAAAGATGCTTTCGAACTTATAAATGGTAGCAATACTTTTTATGCACTACATTTCATCAGTAGCTGAACCGATTACACAGTTTGTGCTGTCTCAGAAGAAGCCTTAACTGTGCCGCACTTGGACTGGCATACTGTTGGAACATGTCTAATGACATCCGAATACTGCACCCATAAAGTCATGTCTGGAGCAGAGGATATCGACATTCAGAAGACCACTATATTTATGACTAAAGTTTGTTAAATCTAAAGTAAACTCAGGGCGAAGTCGAAAATTAAGAATGGAAGAAAAAATTCCCTCTTGTTCTAATGTTGCCTACTCTGTATGTGCAGGCTTTAGAGGGTAAATGATCCTGAGAAAACCTTAACCATAGCCACAGGGGAATTTTTATTTATCCACTGTTTCTAATTATCTAATCACTCAAATGCCTTTAACAGGAGGCACAGCAGGTAAGTCCAGGCTTGTTCTGATCTGAATGAACTCAGCTCTTTCATGAGAGGTTAGTTCACAAGCCACAAGATTGCAGATTATGGAGCAACAGCACCACCTGTGGGCCGTGATGAGAAATGTTCCTCCTAGGGTTTCACCACTTTTAACATGTCTGCTGCTCACTCCAGTGTGATTCTGGTGGCTCTGCGTGTGCAGATTATCATCTCTTTGGGTCCCAAAGGGTCAAATGTCACATTTGGTCACTGAATCAATTAAGATTTGCCGTGTTTGAACACCTGTTCAAAATTCACCGTCACCCCTAATCCCCCATATTGATCTAGAACACGTTTGAGCGCACAAAACGTATTCACTTAAACGTAAATACAGAACATAGATACGCAATACATTGTCAAAACATCGCCATAGTCATGTACTTTATTCACAATAAATGTATTTTTTCTTAAAAAAAAAAAAATTAATATACAACACAATTTGTGACAAGACACTTCTGTTTACAACTAGAGTCGGCCCTCATACAGCAAGCAGGCAGAGACAAAGACTGTGTTTGTGATGAGAGAGAGAAAGAGAGACAGACAGAGAGACAGAGAGAGAGAAAGAGAAAATATGTACACTAGCCATTGAGTGGAACACATAGCTCTACACTGCCTAGTGCAAGCATACAATGGAGGACACGACAAGTCCAATTAAATAAAAAATAAAAAAAGAATAAAAACAGTCATAAAGAAAAAGAAAATGTAAGATAAAAAGCAGAAACAGGAGAAGCTGCTTTAGAGGAGAC